TGCAAGTATTTTACTCAAGGCGAAAATAACTTTCCAAAGAATTCACCCACACGCTCACACCCAGCCATCCACCCACCCTATCATATATATATATGTGTGTGTTTGCGTGTGTGCGTGCGTGTGCTTGCGTATCCGTTCGCAAGTGTGTGTGTGTGTATGTGTGAAATCGATAGTTGTTTGATCGAATTTTACAGAATGATGTTTTAAACAGACCTAAGGGGAATTAAAATTGCTTATAGCTTCAGGAATTGTGAAGATACTTTTCTAATGAAGGGCATTTTCAACTGATTGGATAAAAAAGTAATATTTTGATTAGTTAAAATCTTTTATTTTGTGGAATCAATAAAAAAAATATGGCAGGCGTAACTCTAATACTGAATCAAGCAAAAGCATTTATTATAGAGGTTCCAAATGATGTCGTCTCCCTCTCGTAATTATTCAGTTGAAACTAAGAAAGAGAATGACGTGAGAAGAAAGGCAAATGGTCATTTAATTATTCTAGTCTGTATAATAATCTGGTGTGGTGACGTCACTATTGCGTCTCTGACGTCATATCGCAAGAGACAAGTCTTAATTGAAAACTTTTCGCTCAGCACTTGATTGCAATTTTGATCGAACATTCTTCCTTTCTTCAGCCCCACCCTCCGTCTGCCCTTTCTTTTTTCTATCTTCCTCTTCTCGGCATTAATTTCTGTAAAATTGATTATGTTTCTCGAAACTATCGTTTCGCATATGAGGACATTTTTCATCGCGAGATTTGAGATAAATGATTAATTAATTCACCTATTAAAAGTCTTCTGATTTGCATATTTGATTGGAACTAATGAATGTCGGCCATAATGATTTTTTGTTCTAAAACAAAAATGAAAAAAAAAAAAAAATCTAAAAAAAACAAAAAAACAAACAAACCAAAGGACCCTCTGATTTTGATAAAATACGTTACTAAACATCTTACTAATTTTTCCTCTTTTTTCAATATTTCTTTAAAAGAAGTCTTTCGTTGGTTTGGACGTGGGTGGAGATTAAAGATATTAGGATTATTTAGAAGGAAGAGAAAAAGAGGCGAATGAAATAAAGACATACGGAGAGGAGGAAGAAATAGCTTTGGGTATAGAGGGAATGAGAAAAGGCCACGAGAAAGTATAACGAGAGAGAGAGTGGGTGTTAAAGATTAATAAAAGAAGCGAGTGAGAAGTAAATACGTAAAAGTAAAAGGAAAACAAGAATGCAGAAAAAAAAAATATAAAAAGCTGAGATTATTGTTATTTTTTACTTGTTTTACTCAAATCCTTTTTGCTTTACTATCGGTCTGTGAGATGAATTTATATTTAACTAGAAGGACCCGTGAGAATATTAAGGTTTTCCTATTTAAATTTTCTGAGGAGTCTTAATTCATTACTCTTAAGTAAGCCAATGCTGAGTTCTACGACAATGAAATATCCGTGGAGATTCCCCTTATGGCATCGTTAAATATTTGAGCTTAACAACTTTAACAAAATATTGCAATAGCAATCAGAAATGTGAATGCGCTTCGACGAGGTTAGCAAGCTTGTCTCGCTAGAACGATTATGACTGAGTAGTGAGTTCGATCCTCACTGGGTGCGCGTACTTTCAACCTCTTGCCCCATCAAAGCTATGCTTTGAAAATCGCCATAAAGATGAATGCTGGTCATTATTTTAAGAAGTGGGTAGAAATGAAAATATTTTCCATTTGACTGAAACAACCGTTAAACAATTCTTTCTTTCCTTATTATGATATTTTATTTAATTTATGGTAATTGTCTTACATTGTTTCCGTCATTCAATACGGGGCACCTTAAAATGATGCATTTATTGCTTCTCGCCCTTTTGGCTAAGATTCGATCACGGCTACACCTAGCTTGGACCGGCTCGGTTCTGGACCAGCTAGGACAAGCCAAGTCCAGCTATGACTAGCTTAGACCAGCTCTGACCAGCTTAGACAAGCTATGACCAGGTAAGACCAGCTATGACCAGGTAAGACCAGCTATGACTAGCTTAGACCAGCTATGACCAGCTTGGACAAGATACGACCAGCTAAGACCAGCTTGGACCAGCGGCCCGAGTGAAAACACTCGGGTCCCCACGTTAAAAACCGACCTTGTGCCACAACCTGACTCAGCGGGGGGGGGGGGGGTCAAGTAAATAAACGGTCTTTTGGCTAAGATCAAGCTGTAGTATCTGTTCTTATCAGCTTAATTTGTTTCTCTCTCTTTCCATTTCAATCTTCCCTTCTTTATTTTATTTTCTTGCAACTAAGATATGTCTTTCCCTCTCTTTCTGCGCGATTAAAACGCGGAATAGTTCATTATTTATGAGGTATGGACAGGACATGAGGGTCGTATTAACTAAAGAAGGGAGAGACAAGCACAATTATAATAGGATAGTGAAAAAGTTTCATCTAAAGATTTGAAAATAATATGAAAGTCAAATGCATACATGCAAACTCAATCTATCTATTTTGATATTTTCCTTTTCTATCTATCTATCTATCCATCTATCTATCTATCTATCTATCTATCTATCTATCTATCTATCTATCTATCTAAGAATTAAACATTCACTTAATTTGACAGCACAGAATGAAAAATGCTCCAGGAAACTGTGTTAAACGATTTTCAGCTCAGGCAGATATTCTTAGAAAGAAACTGAATTGAGAGAAATTAAAATCGATCTCTGTATATAGTGGGATGTAAAAGTAGGTATACTCTAACAAAACGTGTTCATAAAACGTGTTGTATTGATTATATAAACTTAGTAATAACATCAATAATAATGTTTACTGTATACCTACTTTTGCAGCCCTCTTGTATGTAATGAGGCCTCTCTGTTCATATTTATATCACTGTGTGTACACGCACGCAAACACACACACACACATATATATAATACTCATATCCGTATCGATGACTGTAAGTAATTCTGTAAGTATTTTTATTACTTCAAATGTTATTTTTAGTGGGAACCCGTATTTGAAATAGACACCGTGTTTTTTTTTAAATTTTATCTTAAACAGTGTGTGTTGCATCTGCGCACTCGAGAAATCTTAAAGAAAATGTGCACTCAGTAGTTCAAACATATCAGGGTTCAAACCTGCACCCGCCTTTGTGAGAGAAATCACTCTTTGATCTGGGGTTCCTTAGAGAGCGAACAGCCCAGCAAGACTGTTTTCTCTTTTTAAAGAAAGCACATCGCCATCACTCATATCGTTTTTTTCGAATGCCCATATCTACTCAGTTTCGTATCCGAATCGTAAACAAAGCAATTTCTAAAGAATTAATTGTTTCTATCTATCTATCTATCTATCTATCTATCTATCTATCTTGATCTTTTCATTTCTGTCTATCGATCTAATTCGATCTTTTCATTTCTACCTATCTATCTAATTTGATCTTTTCATTTTTATCTATCGATCTACTTCAATCTTTTCATTTCTATCAATCTAATTTGATCTTTTCATTTCTATCGATTTAATTCGATCTTTTCATTTCTATCTATCAAATTTGATCTTTTCATTTCTATCTATCAAACTAATTCGATTTTTTCATATCTATCTATCAAACTAATTCGATTTTTTCATATCTATCTATCTATCTATCTATCTATCTATCTATCTATCTATCTATCTATCTAACCACGTTTCAACCATGAACTCAGCAAATCATGTCAGCATTCAGAGAAAACTTTGCGTGAGTGTGTGTGCGCGCGCCAGTGTGAGTTTTAAAGAAATACTCTCACACAATTGACATGCGTTGGCAAGAACAAAAAGCGAGAAGGAGTCCCTTCATGGCATTGGCGATCACTGTTCTACGCGACTTCCAATTCCTTATAAACCTCAGCAGTGTTTACCCATTCCTTTATGTTCATGTTTTGAAATTCATTTATACAAGCTTGTTAGGTAAGTTACTCGCAGTCAACTTCTGCTCCTTTTGCCTTCAGTATACCCTGTGAGTGCCAGATTCTCCAAGCCTCCTTTCCTTATGTTCCAGTAAATTCAACCGTCCTTTTCTGATCTTGAGCAAAAGTTTCCTTTTTGTTCCCATTTTCCTTAAAACGTCCTCGTTGCTCACATGTTCCATCCATGGTATTCTCAACATCCTTCAGTAGAATCACATTTCTGTTGCCCCAAGTCTCCTCTTCTGAGAGCCACATCATGTTGAAACACCGGTTTCTGAAATTAAGCAGCGTCGAGACTGGTCAGGACCTAGAAGGGTGATTGCTTAGGAATACCAGGTGTTGTAGGCTTGGATGTGCGGGTGGTATAATGAATAATGGCTCGAAATTGGTAATCGGAGAACCGAATTCCAGTTCTCGTTGGGTTCATTATTCACTTACTCGCAAATACGGTCGGAAAAGGTATGAATCTACCTCTTCCCCCCAGATATGGGTTAATTAGTAAGGCTTGTATCACTAAACCATTATTATTCTCCCCCAAATTCTTACAGTCTAAAAATATTTTCTGACTCTAAATAACTTGTAAAGGGTTGATAAGCCTTAGAAGTCGAATCAATCAATCCTCTTCATCTAGGATGTGTGGGTGGTGTAATGGATAGTGGCTCAGAAATTGTGGAACCTAGTTCGAATTCCAATCTGGTTCGTTGTACTCACTCACGCGCAAACACCTTTGGGAGAGTTATGAGTCAATCTCATCCCACCAGCTGTGGCTTAAATAGTAGAACTTGTATCTGGATTATTATTATTATTATAAAAAAATGTTGATGCAATATTCACTTGTAAAAATGATCCCTACAATCCAAAAATAGATCTCGGTTTTAAATAACCCACAAAGGGTTGATAAGCCGTAAAAACAAATTAATGAATCCTCTTCGTCTATGACGAAATTGTCCAGCATTCATTACTATATAGGATATTTGATATTACATAAGAGCTGAGAAGGTTTATGTTTGTAATTAAATTTTTCTGTTTCTTAATATTTTACTTCGTTTTTGGAAGGCATCTTTCGCTATTCCAATGCGTATTCGGATTTTTGTTACATTTTACATCATCTTATAAGATTTTTTACAATAATGTCTACCCAGTACAAGACCCCAAAATCACTCGAGGTAGAGAGTTACAGAGTAAGAGACAGGATATGTAGGGAAGATAAAGGTTAAGATTGTAGTGCTCGTAGAAGCAGCGGTTTGTAGGAAGAATCTGTTAGTGTGGAACTTACATCTCACCAATGAAGCGTGGCAGGGTGGGTCTTAGCTGTGAAGGTTAGCACTAGTGGGACTAATGAATGCAGTTTGTCTGAACTCTTTCGTCTTGGAAATTGGCCACAGGGTGGGAAAAAATCCCATCACCCACAAGGACGCACAGATGCTTTGGGGCTCATATCAAAACTTCAAAGTTAAGATTGGGCAGGAAGATAGCAGGAGGGTAGGATCGTGCAGAAGGGGAGAAGATGGTGTGACAGCTCCGGGCATCCATTTCGGTAGGGCATCTAATCAAAGAGTGAAATAAAAAAAAATAGTTTATATTTAATTTGGTAAAGTGTTTATTTCATGTTTCATCTGTTTTTACATATTTCTAATGTCTTCCTTTCCCACATTTCTCAGTACTAGGCTATATAGTTCCCGACTACTTGAGCCTTAGGGGTATACAATCAAGGGGTTGGCTCTGAGCATCATCAAACATTAGCAAACCTCTGAGGAGGGGGTCAGTATACTTGCTGGAGCGGTACAGGGAACTGTCAGTTTTTCCCAGCATCTTTAGCGATAGAACGTATTTACGTGTTTTCATTTGAGGTCTAGGTTGAGCTTAGGTCCTGATAGGGGTTCGAGGCACGTGGCTTCTCCCTGAGAGAACACACATTTATCGCGATAGGCAGAAATTCGTGGTCTGCTCAGTTGTACATGATTTACACTTGTTACGTTAAAACGGAAAGATAATGTGGAGATAAAAGGGGTAGGTCTATAGAAAGATGTTACCGAATGAAATATGACTTTTAATACGCTGTAATGAATAAAAAAGAGGGTTGTCAAATGACAATTCTTTTCACCTTTCATAAAGAAATATTCGTGTGTTTCACTTTAAAGTAATAAAAGAGTTGTGAAACATAAC